AAAAAAACCAAAAAAAAAACCAAAACAAAACAAAACAAAAAACAACCCACCACAAAAGACAAAACCCAACAAAACACACATAGAAAACTGTTATTAGTTAGCTAACTCTTATGTTTCCTTATGGTGTGGCACTGTCATTAGATTCTATAGTGAGAGTTTAAATGGAAAATACGACTTCAATAGGATACACTTTTGAGCTAAGAAGAACTTCTGTGTAACTGTTAGCATCTCCTTTGACATTCATTTTCACTAAAACTAATGCTTCGGGGTTTTTTAAATGGGTGTGTAATGTAAAATTCCTAATTCTTTAACTGATTATAAAGTGGCTAGATCAGTGGCCAGTGTTGGGGCCTAAAAGTTTCTGTTGGTTTGGGGGGTTTATTCTGGTTTTTTGGGGGTTTTTTCACTTTAGTTGATGGGGTGGGGAGTGGAGGTGGAACCCCAAAACTTCAGTGGGATCAGTATGCTAAAGAAAAAAGATACAGGTATGTCTAAGCTCAGAATGGAAAAGATCTGGTCGGGTGATTATATTTACAGGTTTATACAAAGGTACAAGTGGATATTAGGCTGCTTCTTGCATTTTTGTCTAGATTTTTTGGCTTGGTTACTTTTGACGTAGTGATCTGAGGATTCTTGGTTCTATGTAGCTTTTAGTTTTCCCTTGTTTGCAAGAGTAATAGAGCTTCTGTAAAGCAGTTATTTCCATTTTTCAGGAGCCAGATTTTATTGATGATATAGAAGAAAAAACTCCCATTAGCAATGAAGTAGAAATGGAGTCGGAGGAGCAGATTGCAGAAAGGAAAAGGAAGATGGTAAGTTGGGAAGCAAGATGCTGCTTGAAGTTGTCACTGAGGCTTAGCGACACCTGCTCTTCCTATGTTAATTGCTGCCGCCTTGTAGGCTTGTAGAATCTGAGTATATATGAAGTCAGATCCTTTTGTGAGCTTCAGCTGAAAATACAAGGCTTGCTAATTGAGAGCATTTCATCTGGCTTGATTGTTGCTTTCTGACAAAAACCTGCTTTTATCTTCAAATGTATATAATTTTTTTATTGCCTTTAAAAAAGACATTGTAGTAATCATCCAGATTTTATTTTCTTCACTCTTTATTATTGCTCGTTATTTGTAATGGCCATTTTTATAGATAGTGTTGGGAGTCAGGATTTTTGCCTAATTATTGTTTTGAATTGTCAACGTAAAGCCTCAGAAATCCTCATTTTCAGAGGTTAGTAGAACAGTGTTACGAAAACATTTTAAAATGTGCTTTTTTTGTTAGGCGTTCAAAATGTGAGATACTTGAAATTACTAGTTAAATCAAAATCTTGTCCAAGTTGTATAATGAAACACTAATATTTGGAACTTTTCGTTGTATTGTTTGTGCTCACTGAACTTCTCCTAGGAGTTCAGGGCGGCACCAAAACTCTCTGTATCTGCCCAGACAAAAAAAAAAAAGAGGGGGATTGAAGTATATATTCCATTTGGTCAGTATTTCCTACAACTCTGTCAGTAGCAAAATTGATGAGACTTGTATTTATTAGACATCAGAAAGCAAAATCTACTCAAGTAAAATGTATGTTTGAATACAAAATCTGAAGAATGACAGCATGAACTCTAATATTAGCATACAACAGTGTTTTGTCATCCTTTTCAGGAATGATTCTCATCAAACACACTTGGATGTATTGGTTTTGCTCCAGAGGATGTGCTGGCTTGAATTATTTTTTTTTTTTTTTTTTTTTTTGGCACTTCACATTTATATTCTTCCTAAAGCAAAACTGTCTGTGAAACTTTGTTATAACAGAGTTGCTGTAGTTAGATGTGATTATTACTCTAGCTCCATTATGAGGATTGCAAATACTGCAAGGTTGCCTGTATTTTACAAAGTAAACAGGCACGTTCAGCGGCAAAACAAAATTGGGTGCCTCGTTCGCTTATATGGGCAATATATTTCCAGGTATTTTTTCTTTAATATAAACACATTGTTGCTATGAATGCACTGTTGAGCTGCAAGCATTTATAAAAAAAAATAGTTTTAATAGAAGCCCCCAATTCTGCCACCTTCATACTGTCTTAAGCAGAGCTCTATGCAGATGAAGGGATCTCCCTCTGTTCAGCGCTAGAACCTGAATTACAGATAGACAGAAGATTTAGCTTCTCCATGTGACCTAATGTTATCTTATTTTGAAATAGTGATTCTTGAATGTTGATTGTATGTTTTGATGTAGTTTGTGGGACTTTGAAAGTTGGGTCAGAGGGTAATGGACGTTTCTGTTGTTTCATACATGTATTAGTATTTCATATCTTTCTGGTCATTGGTGTTTCATTGTTATTAAATATACATGCAAGTAAGTGGCTCTGACCTATGTGGTCTTTTTATGCTTATAGGCCAGTGATTTACTAGTAAATCACTATTTTCCTGCAAGTTCTTAAACCCAAAACAGGACTGTCATCTTGTTTATCTGGGTTGGTATGAATGCAAGCCTTTCTTCAGAAGTCTGTAATAATTGCAGTGATCGTAACATCTCCCTTTCCTCTGAGCTTCTGCTGAAATTGATCTGCATGTCAACATACACTGAATATGTTCTGAAGTACTTAAAGAAAAAAATAGTATGTATTTATATATGCGAAAGATTATGACTGAAACTTGATTGTGATTATTATTAAATCCATCAGACAAGAGAAGAACGGAAAATGGAAGCTATTCTGCAAGCTTTTGCCAGACTAGAAAAAAGAGAAAAAAGAAGAGAACAGGCTTTGGAAAGAATCAGCACAGCAAAAACTGAGGTTAAATCAGAATGCAAGGAAGCACAGATTCTCAATGACGCTGAATTTATTCAGGTAGTTATCTGGAACTTTATTTTAAAGCTAGCTTTTAACATGGCATATTTTGTAGGTTTGGATGTGGAGCTGCACTTCAAGATGTATGAATTTTTTTTTTTGCTCTGAACTCAAAATATATTCGACCAAAATCTGTATAGTTGTTTGACATTATATGATGTTAGCTGATATATTTTTTTATTTCAAGAAAAAGCGTATAGAATTTGTTTATGAGGAATTTCAGTTACATTGGTTTAAGCAAATGTGTGCATACATACCAGCTGTGTAATTCAGTCTCTCTTTGAAGGTCAGGGTAGGAGGTGTTAGCCACAGAAGGTGGCTTTCCTTAGGCACCCTCTATAACCAGTGGAGAACAACTTGCTGCTTCAGTGGGTTATTCAGGAACAGACTATAAATTATTAAGGCATAGTTTGTTCTGAGTTCTTGGAGGTGATATTAATGTTTCATAAAGAATTTTTTACTCTGTTGTTGCTGGATGTTAGTATGCTCCTTGCCTTGCAAACACTCCTACAGATTCTCAGTTCAGGTTGTTTCCCAGGATAATTTCTGTCAGCATGCTGTTAAGTACCTTTTGTGACAATGCTGAACACTTAGTAAACTATAGATTACAAAAAGGATATTGGACTGAAAGACATTACAATGTAAGCAGCTGATTTCTGGTGTATGGATGAACGGATGTGATGTGGCAGTTCTTAGGAAAATCTGTGGTGATCTGACCAGTGACTGCTGTATGTGAGTACTCTGCCAATGATATAGCAGATACTTGGGAGGAAAATATAGGAAATCTTGTAGTTTGCCTTGAAGAAGGATAGAAATATTACCTCTGAAGCATTTTAGTTCTAACAACAAAAATGAGATAGAGGCTTTTTGGACCTGTAAAGGGAGGGGGAACTGACATTTTGTTTTAAGAAAGATACGTAGCTTTACGTGTGTGCAAGATCTGTTTACTAGACATTTGCTTTGTACCAGGAACCAGCAAAAGAAGAAACTGCCACCAAGCCTACCCCAGCCAAAGTTAATAGAGCTAAACAGAGAAAAAGCTTCTCACGGAGTAGAACTCACATTGGACAACAACGTAGACGACACAGAACTGTCAGCATGTGTTCAGATATCCAGCCATCTTCTCCTGATGTGGAAGTAACTTCACAACATAATGAAACTGAGAATGCTGCACTAGTAGCTGAGCCTGAAACAGAAACTGTTGTTACAGAAATGGTTACTGAAACAGAAGCTCCAGCACTTAATAAATGCCCTACGAAGTATCCTAAAACAAAGAAGGTATGTCTCTTAAGGGATGGGAAGAAGAGGATGGACTTTAACAGAGTTTTTTAAAAAAAATTATAGACTGCTGCATCACTATTCAACTGTATATACGTATTTAAAAATCTGTTGACTCATTTCTTTAAAAATCACCATTACATAGCAGCTCACTGGTAATAAATTAAGAGATTAAAAAAAGGTATGTGTAACATGCACTCTTAGAAGTTACTATGGATTTTGAGACTTTCAGAATAGGTATTTCAGAACAATTTTGGAACAAATGTTTTCTAAGGGAAGTACTTTCTAAATGGGCTGAAATAATGTACATAACCCAAACATAATTGAAGCTGTTAATTTAAAAAGAAAAAAAAAAAGAAATAAAAATGGCCTTGCCTTCCTTTGCTTCCTTTATTCATCATGTGCTTTAGAAGATATTTTGATGGTAGCAAACAAAATATCTTAATGGAAATCGTTAACTTCTAGTACTTCTGACGTGTCTGTTCTAAAGTGAATGAATTTAAACACTCAAAATTTATGTGCCTGTTTGGAGGGAAGATTGTTTACTCTCTTTAGTGCTTTGGTTTTAATTTTTTTATTGGACTGCATAGCAGAAAGCTAGAAGAAATGCCATGATATTTAAAGACACGTGAAAAAATCTTCAATCTGCAAGTGTAAATAACGCAGTAAAACTTTCTGCTTTAAAATTCTACGTTCTGCATTAAAAAGTGACTTTTTTCAGCTTTACAAGTTCTTCCGAAAATTTTATTCGGTGGAGGGGAAGGGGGAGGAAGTCATAGGTTGAAACTTCTTGTCAAATTAACAATTTCAAGATGGTTTTATCTTAAACCCCCAAACATACATATTTTTTTTTTTCCCAAAAGGCATGTGAATCATCCTGTAACACTCCTTATTACATCACTATTAAATTCTTCTGAGAGGGGAGACTAGAATCTTTCTTCCTTTTTTCCATGTTGCATAGCAGAAAAGAAGGAAGATATCCACGAAGTCTGAATTTTACTGCTTTTTTTTTTCTGTTTCATAGTATTAAGGATAAATGTCTATGAAATGTCTCATTGCATTGTACCCAGAGTACCCTAAGTGGGGAGAAAGTCCTGCTTTAAAAATGAATTAATAAATATGTTTGTAAAAGATGAGCAACTTAAATACATTATGATAATCTGTGTTAAAGCCTTAATATCATATTAATAATATTTAATGTGCTATTTTTGCATGTCCCTAACTTTGTTGAACCATTGGTAAATTGGGAGGAAGGCTTATCTGTTAACAGGAACTAAAACTCTCTAGCATGTTTTTCAAAAACACTGAACTAGCTAGGAAAGAATACCCTTTTTTGACAAGCATGCCTTAGTAAAGGTGTCATAATTCAATACAATTACAATAGTGAAGAATGTTGAAGGAGTCTGCCTGACACGTTGACTGGAGCACACTCCTGACAGGACGGAAATCTGATGAGGAGTTTACTTAACTTTGTTCTGTTAACATTAACACTGTTAGTAAATTCACGTCATAAGTACAGTTGATCTGGGCACTTACATAGTACATTCAGTGAGAATTAAATACGAAAGAACAAAATGTTAGTTCACCAAAAAAAAAACCCCAAACCAAACAAACCCAAAATGCAAAACCCCCAAAACTTTGGTATGTAGAGCAAATCTATACTGATTCCTTCCGCTGTCTCCGTTATTTCACTAAAACTATCCTCATTCTTGCCTGGAAACTAACTGTTTTGTGGTTTGTGTAACAGTTGACTAGGTGAATAATTAGACTAAAAAATTTCTGAAAACCACTGATAAAAACACTCATAAAACACTAATTTTTTTCTCTCTCTGTGTTTAGCACTTGGTCAGTGAATGGTTAAGTGAAAAGAGTGATAAAACAGGGAAGCCTACAGACAGTCTATCAGAAAGGCCTCTGCGCATAACTACCGACCCTGAAGTTCTGGCTACTCAACTGAATTCTTTACCAGGTCTCACTTACAGTCCACATGTATATTCAACTCCAAAGCACTATATTCGTTTTACTTCACCATTCCTTTCAGAAAAGAGGAGGAAAAAAGAACCTGTGGAAAACATTACTGGCTCTTGCAAGAAGGTAATGCTTCCCTTCATTATGGTTCCCCATCTCATATTAATTAAAAATAAGTCTTTATTTGCTAGCACAAATTCAGGCGGAAAAGAGCTGGTTGGCAAACCAATTCTGTCATGTGTAATGTGTTTTGAAACATTTATTGTTGCACTGTTAAGTCATTGATTTGAACTTGTTTTATTACAGCGTTGGTTGAAGCAGGCTTTGGAAGAAGAAAATTCAACAATGATTGATAGATTTAATTCACCGTCACAAGAGAGATCTAGAAGTCCAGCCATCAATGGTGAAAATAAAAGTCCTTTATTACTGAATGACAGCTGTTCCTTAACAGGTGAAGCTTTTACTAATACAGTACATAAGAGCTATGTCAAAGTAGTCAAATGTGGAGGACCGTGTTTTTTAAAGTGATGAGTTAATGAAAATTCCGGGGGTATTTGCACTGGTTTTTGATACTTTCTTTGAAAGAAATGCTTCATTGCATAGTGGTTGGGTTTGGTTTTTTCCCCTCTTTAAAGTATAGTTGACACTAGAGAAGTAACCACTGTATCGCATAGTCTTTACAGTCAACCAAAGCGTAATGGTTTTGATTATGAGTATTAAGAGGTTAGATTATAAATTCATTTTCCATGCTGTTGTATATATTCAGAATTGCTTTTAAATTCAGTGGGCCTGTGTTGCACATAGGGGAAAAGCTGTGTAATCTTGTAGGCATAATACAAAATGAGAACGTGCTAAAAACTAAACACACGCGCCATTTCCTGACAGAAGTGTCATATGATTCCTGCGTACAGTCCTGAACTTGGAATTTCCACTTTTTCGTTGAAGAGACTTAAAAATGCATATAAGTTGACTTTCCCTTTTCTGGAAATATAGGCAGTTCTTCCCATCATCCGTAGCTGTAGGCTGTTAAGAGTTCATTTTTCAGGAAGCCTGCCCTTAAAAGATTTTTGTAATCTTACTGATTTTTTTTTTTTAATGTGGAATTCATAATTTCATTACATCAAGTACTTAAACAACTGTAAGCAATCGGTATATTTAGATCTCTTCTAGCTTTTTCCTAATTTTAACACACAGATCTAACCACACCACTAAAAAAACGAAGACTGTATCAGTTGTTGGAGTCTGCATTCTCAGAAACCTCCACACCTACTCCTTCTCCGTATGCCACACCAACTCATGCTGACATCACTGCCTCCGAACCATCATTGTTTGCTACTCCTCCTAGGGTAAAAACGGAAGATGAAGCTTGTAGAAATGGTTACAAACCTATATATTCTCCAGTTACTCCTGTAACTCCATGTATACATGGAAATACCATGCACTTTGAGGTGAGATTTGCAATGAATTTTAGTGTGTTCGGAGATTCTTGTGTAAATCAGTATTTGTACTCCTGCTGCGAGGAGGTGTTTTATATTTCTCCACGCTAGAAAAGAAACTGACTTGCGATTTCTTCTTATTTATTTAGAATATTTCCTCACCTGACAGTTCCCCAGAAATAAAAAGGCGAGCTTACAGTCAAGAGGTAAGGATATTTGCCAAAAACTGCAAATAGTATCTTCATTTCACCTGTATGATTGCACTGTTCTTAGTAAATGCTTTTCACCAGCCATTGCAAGTGTCCTGGAATGTAAAGGGTAACTTCCCTACAGGTTTTATTTGCTTATTATTATCTGTTTCCGCTTCACCTGTCTCATTTTCTATTTTAAACTGGTTTCTCTCTCTTTTTCTGTATCACTTAAAAAATCCTGATGGCTATTACAGAAAGGAGTAACTGCAGCAATTCATAGATAAGAACAGAAAACCAGCACTTGTGCTTTTCAGGGTGTAGTTAGATTTAATGTTTCTCCTTGTTACCAGCATCCCTTAATTGTTTTTGTTGAGCCTAATTATGCTCAGAGTTGAGAGAGCAGAGCAGAAGGGTAATAAGTGGGTTTAAATGGATTAGTTCAGGAGCAGCAAGTGCTGTTGGAATATGCCCAGGTACTCCCAGCCTTGTCAGGGGATGGATGTGTCCCGCTGCGGGGCTGAGGCTGGTGGCCGGGCCGCTGCAGGGCCAGGTGGCTCTCAGAACACCAGAACTTCCACAGGGACCCTTCTGCCTGGCACAGGAGAGAGAGGAAACGTTCCACAGCAACGTGGGGCTCAAATCTGGTGTGATAACTATATGATTTGCATAAAGGTGTTGGACTATATGAACTTAATGACACCTAAAAGGATAGGTGAAAACAAGTAACGATAAAAAGATTTAGTGGGTTATACTAATGGAGACTTTCGCTTCTGGTGAGTCGTGTAAATGAAAGATCCAGATACTCTCCCGTGAGAGTTAAGCACATAGATGTTTTTTGTTTGGGTTGGGTTTTTTGTTTTTTTCAGGTAAAAATCTTAACAAATGTTGAAATACACGAAATTTTTCATACGATCATAGCTGTCAACTGAATTTAACAATTACTTCTAAACTCTTGTAATCAAATATTTTAATGTTTATCTGATTCGAAAAGGGGTTTTACTTGGGAACTTTTGCTTTGTAATACAAATAATTTAAAAAGTATTCACGAAAACCTTAAAACACGTTTGTTCAGAAAAGCTACTTCCAGCCATGGATATGTGGTGGGTTTTTAGTGGTTATTGCAGTTTTAAGAAGTACAGAAGTTTCTGTAACTTAAGAAATTTTTTTTTCCCCTCTACAGAATACTGATTTTAATATTGTCTCAATATTTGAAAGTGTCTCAGAAAAGCTCCCTCCCCTCCCCCCCCCCTCCTTCTGGAAATAAGTGTTTTGATGCTGAGGATCCCCTTTATGTTGAATTGAAGCAAGTAGTTTGTAACTTCCTGGCCAGGGACTTGCTCTTGTTGAAGCTCCTCCCCTTCCTCTGCCAGTCATAAATAAAACCTGGCATTTAAAGTTTATTTTTACTTTGGTTAATGTGCATTTTATTAAAATGCTTTTACCTAACACATGGCAATAGTAGAAATAAATGTCTGGCTGTAGAACTGTTTCTTAAAAGTAGATAAATTCATGGTACTGGGAGGCCTTTAATCCGACTTAAAGGCACAACTGAACATCAGAATAGTGGCAGTATTGTTGGAGTGTGGAAAAACGGTTGACATGCTTTTTCTTCACACAGGGATATGACAGAGCATCGATTCTAGCACTGAATTCTTTCAGAAATGCCAGCCTGACAGAAATGGGCCTGCAGGAAATAAAGACTATTGGATATTCCAGTCCAAGGAATAGGACTGATGTCACACGGCAGTGCACTGGAGACATGGAATCTGTGTCAGACCTCCAGCTGGGACTCGAAGTAATTGAGCAAAGTGCACTGCATAAAAACCTGGAAGCCCCCACACATGATAGGACTGATTCAAACAGCCAATTAGAAACTGCTCACTGTGGACGGGGCACAATTTATTCTTCTTGGGTAAAAAGTCCCGACAGGACAGGTGTAAATTTCTCAATGAATTCTAATTTGAGGGACTTGACTCCTTCACATCAGTTGGAGGTAGGAGGTGGATTCAGAATAAGCGAGTCAAAGTGCCTGATTCAAGACGATGCAAGAGGCATGTTCATGGAAGCATCTGTTTTTTGTACTTCAGAAGATGGGATTGCATCTGGCTTTGGAAGGACTGTCAATAATGACAACTTGATGGATGGAAATTGCACACCCCAGAATCCTCCACAAAAGAAAAAGGTTATAATTTTAAGAATCATTTGGTCTGTCTTACATAGTCTGCTAATGATATTTCTATAACAGAAAGAACCATAATACAATAAAAAACAACTGATGGCTAATCTTTAAATACCACAATGTAGCAGACTTTATTCAGGGGAAATAATGAGGAGCAAAGAGTAAAGCTGCATATGCCAATTAGTAAATTTATTTTTTCGAAGTAATAGATAAAAGTGAATTTGTTATTTCATGAGTTCTAAATGAATTGCTCAGTAAATAATTGCTTTTCAGGTTTGAAAATTGTTGCTTATACCACCAAGTAATACAGAATATACACCAGCATCATAGAGATCATATTCTGTGAACATTTGTTAGGAATTACTGCAAGAAATTGCAGTAACAACTTTATGATACTGAGACTTGAAAATTCAGGTTTTTATACAGTTAGAGTATCTTAGTTTCACTGTTAGAACTACACAGAAACCCTTAGTTCCAAGAAATCTTTTTCTTGGCTTTTTTTTTTATATAAAATACTGTGTTTGAAAAATAAGCACAATCTAAATTTGCTACTCTCATGAAACAGTTCTTGTAGGTACATGTGTGGTCATGGGCAACTCAAATCATACTCGGAGGTTACTGTGCATAACTGTCTTGGACTGCGCTTTGCTGTTAGGTTAGACTCCCTTTGCTCCTTGCAGAAAGGATGACAAACATGGAAGGCAACAGCTTGCCAGTTCTGTCTCATAACAGGCTCTAGTAATCTTTCTAGTTTGAAAGGTGTGATTTATTTTCCTCATGGAAGTAATGATCAGGGGGGTGGGAGCATACTCTGTGTGTATACATGCATGCACAATAGGGTTTTGGTTTTTTGGTCCCGTTGCACCCCCCCTTGTACGCTCCTCCTCCCTTGTGCTCTGGGGGCATCCTGCTAGGGAGCAGTCATGGTTCTTCTGTCAGAAGTTCTCCATCAGAATTGGATTTTTGTTTACTTTGCTTCAACCTGAGACATAACTGAAGCAAGATGGTAGGAGCTCTGTCCTTACGTGGTCCTGGACCTGAGAATTTTATAGATTCCATGGGTGTTACTGTAGCCCTGGTGTTTTGGCAAAGCCAAAAAAGCCATAAAAGAAGCCAAAATTTCTGTAGCTTCACATTCTTCTTTGTCTGAAGGTTAAATTAATTTCTTTTCAAATCCCAGTAGCACTTGGTGCTTCAGTAACCCTCCCCCATTTCTGTTGCTGACACAGATTCTTCCGGGTTGTTACTGCTGAGGGCTTGTGCTACACGAATCCCCAAATAAAAAAAGGTGTGGCTGCCCCCTGGCACCCCCCCCAGGATTCCTGTCTAAAAGTCTCTGTTTGAAGAACAACCAGAGAAAACTGTACCCCTGAAAGAATGGGGTTTAGGCTTTCTAAGAACACAAGCCGGGGTGGAAATCCCACCTATGGTTAAGGTGAGAATTCAGGAATTTTGTAGGAGAATAATAGAAGCCTTTCCCCAGGATCACATAAGACATGAATGTCCTTATGCAATTGTTAAAGGAGGTTTTTCTGTATTTCAGCATTTCTATGGACATTTGCTCCTCTGTTTTCTTTTACCATTGCACATGTTCATCCCATGTCAGTACGGTCCTGTACCTAGTGGCCACACTGCACAGACTTCATCCATTCTTAACACTGAAGCTTTCTTTGAAGCAATATCCTTCAAGGGATCCCAGTCATGTGGTGTGGAAATAATACAAATTGATTGAAAGCAAGATCAGTTCGTAATCTAAATTTTCTTTTTACGAAAAATCAAATACTTGGAACTATTCTTACCCTGTGACATACAGAGGAGTCTTTAATGGATAGATCTGTTTGAAAGCAAACAAACACAAAACCCTAGGACTGCAGACAAAGCGGGCTGCCTTGGTTTTTCCTCTGTGTAGAAGTGGATGTCTGCTTTTGTTGAGGACTAAGCCAGTTAAAAGTGATTTTTTTTTTTTTTCATTATTGCTCTTTAGTTTCTTATTTTGGATGCTACATGGGTCAGAGTAGGTTGTTGATAACTAGAAGAAAAGAAATGTCATTTCCACCAAACTAGTGTCATTACTGAATAAAGTAGGTCTGAAGGTCAGTATTTCAGCTTTCTGCTTTAAATCCTGAAGGTACATAGTGAAAACATTTGAAAGTTTATCTTTCCCACTGAAGGTAACTTACTAAACATTTAAACCGTTTTCTAGTATATGGAAGCTTCAGTGTAGTGATTTTATATAAATATATATATAAAGTATAAACCATTTTTTCCCTTTATGTGTCGTTGGTTTTGGTAATAAACTTTACTTGGAATTTAACTTGAAAATATGTTCTTAATCAGTCCCTTAGAGTGCAGTAAAGACAAGTTCAGAATAAACTGTGAAAAGAATGAAAGTTTAAGTTCCAAATTCTGTATGTTCAGAAAAACATGTGAAGAGCTTAGAGAATCCTTTGATCTGTGCAGTAGAGTGAAGCAGAAGCATGGTGAGATGTTCATAGGAGGGAATTGGACTGAGAGCAGGATGTGACATCCCTTAAAATTGGCCGTGCTGTATCGGTATAGTCCTGCTAAGGTTGCAGTTCCCAGAGAAGCTGTGAAGTCCCTTGTAGCTTCAACCAACAGTATGACTTCAGCAGCAAGCCTTTTGCTGACGTGCATCATCTTCTGCTTCTTACCTGAGGCAGAATGCATACATACTTCCTTCTCTTGGCAGAAGCATTTGGGTTTTTTTCTTTACATTGTCCTTACAGTCATTAGTAGCTCGGTACTCTGCAAATTCACTGCAGATGTGGTCAAATATCTTTAATTAATCTATCCCCACTTTCTTTTAGAACCAAGTAAATGGTATGTCTTGCTGAAAGAGTACATTTAATTGAAACTGTGAGAAAGAAGGGAAGTTCACTTGTTTCCTAATGTTTGTTTTGGTTGTGTTTGGTTTTTTTCTCCCTAGGTATCCTTATTAGAATACCGTAAGAGACAACGAGAAGCTAGAAAAAGTGGTTCAAAGACGGAAAACTTCCCCCTGGTTACTGTATCTCCTCATGCTGCTGGTGCGGGAAATATAAGTAGTAACAATGGTGCTAACGATGGGTATAACAACAGTGGTGAAAATGGGGAGCAAACTGATAACGCTGCAAGCCTACCTTTACCACTGCCAACTACTGTTTATAATGCAGCTCCAGAAGACACTGGCAACAACTGTGCAATGAAGGAATCTTCTTCCAGTGAGAAGAATGAACCAGAAGTTCAGTGGTAAGCCACAAAGCTATGGGACTAAAGTGCTGAAGAATTATTTAGTTAATTCTATGTCTTTTCTGTTAAATTGCATAGGTAAAGTATTGTTGTAAATCTGTAGACAATGGCATTGGTGAGCAGGCATGCTCCTTCCACCACTGCTGAAGTTGGGCTGTGTGTGCTTGCCAAGGTGTGCGGAGGGGAGAGCAGCAGGAGGATGGAGAGGATGCTGAAATGGCTGCGAGAGATTCGAGTCCGATTCTCAGCAGGGCCTTTACTCTGCACTCATGTTCTTGTATCTCCACTGCTTTGTCTGTGGGCTGAGAGTATTTTTCACCTTGAATCTCAAAACCTTTCCAAAAACACTAGGGAAGAAAGGTAGAACAGCAGAATAATGTTTAGCGATGAGCAAAAGCTTCTAGAGGACTTTAGGAAGTATGTGGCTGGATTCTGTGTGTGGTGTTTGCTTAAGTGCAGTGTGCAGGGCTGCGTGCGGTCTGCCTGTCGGTTCCTTCTGCTCAGGTAAGAGAGCGTGCAGTGATACTTGCATCGTCGTTTATGATCATTAAATGGTTCCCCTGTGTGCACACCATGTGCTCTGTTGGATGCCATGCCAGATACTCCAATAACCAAAATTTCTGGGGGGAGAGAGAGTGTGAAGCGGGATGAGAGAGAATGACTTCAGTCCGTATAAATGTTGCACAACACTTTCCACTGCCCTTAAGGTAGATGGTCAACTGTAGTGACGCTGTCTCCAAACTGTTACTAGCACAAAATAAACCCTGCAGATGTTCTTTATACTGTAGTGAAGGCCCAACAGTGTTGGGGCTGACCGTGGGCCGAGGAGTTGAACATCCTTCTGCTCGGGTGCTCCAGCTATTCCAGAATAGAAGGATTTTGTGGAGCCAATTGAAGGGAGAACGTAAGTGCAGTCTTCAGAGTTTCACTGAAGAGGGGCTGTACGTTCACTGTGCAGAAACTAGCGTGCTATATTGTAAGCAAAGAATGTGGAAACAAGCTAAACAGGGAAGAATTTATTAGTAATTTTTTGCAGTACTCCTGCAGACAGCAGCACTAGAATTTTAGTACAACAGTATTGGAGAATAACGCTGTTTGTTCTTGCCTGAAAGAAAAATTGAGTTTTGTAGACTGCTGTCATTTATGTTATTCTTGATCAGGTTGTGATCGTCAGATGTAATTGATTATAAGAGAGAAGATACGACTGTCATTTCATACCCACTATCTGGCAAGTTAAACGTAGAAGCTTAAACAGAAATATATTTGTTGTGCAGTATTTACAACTATGGATCCATTATTAAAGAGCCAATTCTTAGGGAAAAAAAATACTATTTCCAGCTTTGGAAGAAGAATGTTTTTTACAAATGGAGAATACAAAGCAGTACCTGCAACCTTTATTTTCTGAGGTGTAGTTTTTGACTTTTCAGCTGTTTAGACAAAGAAAAAAACAAACCCACAGATCTACAGATGTTGTTTCCATATTAAGAGGAATTGTCAGTTCTTGTAATGTAACAAGGTTGCAGGACATGAACATATTTAAGGTGAGGGAAAACAGATACAAAATACTTAACAAATCACATTCCTTATGTACAGCCAGTTATTGAGCTCTTGGATGCAGTCAACACTGTAAACTTTCTCTGTCCCGGTATTTGCATATACATTGTCCTAAACTTGGCCCATGGGAGTACATGCTCTTAAATTTAAAATGTGCTTCTCTCTTCCAGGACTGCATCAACCTCTGTGGAACAAGTGAGAGAACGAAGTTATCAGAGAGCTTTGCTTCTCAGTGATCATAGGAAAGACAAGGACAGCGGTGAGTTGATTGGTCATGTCGAAGGTAGATAGATCTGACCACTTCCCCCATGGTAGTCCGTCACCGTTCTAATACTGTGTTTGGGTCTGCTTCATCTGTAGGGGGAGAATCACCTTGTAGCCCATGTCCACCGTCTCATGTTCAGTCTCCACCATCTCATTCAAATCTCATTTCCCAGTTGCAGCTTAAGGTCCCTTCTTTCACTGAATTTATGGAAGGTCAGTAAGCAGATGACCTTGTATGGCACTTGACATACTGAATAGTCTCTTAGGGCAACTGTAGCTCTTTTAAAGTCAAATGTAAAGTGCTTAGCCATTTTGGCAAAAGACTTGATTTTCCTGCTTTTTTATTTCTCTCTGCTTTATCTCCGTAGAACCTGATCCTGAAAATCCGGAGCCTACTTCTGAATGTCCGTCCCCAGATACTTCACAAAGGAATTGCAAAAGTCCGTCAAAAGCAAGCAAGGTAAATACATGGTGTATGCAGGTGCATATGTGTTTGCACGTGTGTGTGTGTAATATGCATAGGAATATGTACGTACATCTCTAACTTACCTTAAAAAAATGTTAACTCTCATGATTTACTATTTAGATGAACATGTATGTATGTAACTTATCTGTACAATAATTTAACATAGGTAAACATTTGTAAGAGTATTTGTAGTAGTCCATTCATGCTAAGAAGTTGGTTTATGTTCTGTTCTTTCAGTAGCTATACCTATTTATATATGACCTTGCATTCTGTAGACACAGAGGAGACTGTATCAGTGGATTCGGTATCACCGCAGTTGTGCTGAGTGGACGCTGAAGGACTGGCAGTCAGAACTGGCAGTAGTCATGTGGTGGACCTACTCGGTGCCTTAACAGGAGTTTGCTCTTGCCCTGTCAGGATTTGGCGCTGCTTTGTCAGTAGAGGCGCTGATAAGGAGAAAGACATTGAGCAGCTGCCTGTTACAGTATTAAATGAAGTAATTCGAGTTGTAATGTGTAGTCTGTTTGCTTGCACTATGCCAGTTTTTAAATGTTAAATCACACTAAAAATGGCTTTATTTTTGTAAATACTCATGTCTGGAATTATTCTTTCAGACTCGGAAATCTAAAACTTTGACAAATAACAGATTCCAACTTTGAACTGATGGGTCATATTTCTGTGTCTACTTTAAAATACACTTGCTAGTCTTTGACTTTTAAGAATGATTGATACAAACTTGCTGAAAATAGTGTCTTGCTAAGTTGCTGTTTTTCTTATACCAAATACATATCCTGTGCCTTGACACTGTTTTTTTTGCCATCGGGGGAGAGAACAGCATTCTGAGAAGTTGTTCTAATGCACGCGCAGTTGAGTATTTTGAATGTTATGCACTGACTGACTTCCTTTTCATTCTAGCCCTCTTCGCCGAGCCCTGTAGTTTCAACACAGTCACTTGGGAAAACATCCACAAAACCAGATTCGCACTGGGAAACCACGGCTAACGCACCCGAGGCCGAATGTGCGAATCATCCAAAATCTGAGCTGCAACAAAAACAGCTGACAAACAACGTCCAAGCACTTTCAAAAAATCATCCATCTCAACCACATCTGCGCAGTTCTGCTGAGCAACTGTCACATTCACAGAAGTTGCCTTCTGCACCTTTGAAGCTGCATTGTCCCCCTTCGCCTCACGTAGAAAATCCTCCCAAGTCCTCGACCCCTCACGCGCCCGTGCAGCACGGTTACCTTTCACCAAAGCCTCCCTCGCAGCCCTTGGGATCTCCGTACAGACCTCATCATCCACAGTCACCTCAAGTTGGAACGCCCCAGAGGGAAACGCACCGAAACTTCTATCCGGCAGCACCAGCCCTTCAGCCCAGTAATCAGCAGCAGGCTGGCGGACCCCTCTTCACTCAAACAACTTCAGGACAATCTTCAGCTTCTTACAGCCAGTTTAACCAACAAAGTTTGAACAGCAACGCACCACCTCCCCCGCCCCCCCCACCACCTTCCTCCACTTACTATCAAAGCCAGCAGCCCTCCACAAACTTTCAGAGTTACAGTCAGCTGAAGGGCAGCATACCCCAACAGACTGTGTTTTCATCCGGACCAAATCAAGCACTTCCTGG